AATCTAACAAATAAAGATAAAATAATAGAAGCCTTTTCAAAGAACATAGTAGGAGAAGATAAGATAGCCATGTTAGTGCAATATAAAATTCACTTCGGACAATGGAGACACAATCACACAGCCCTAACCCAGACTCCAGACACACTGGGAAGCAAAACACACCTACCAGATATGTCACTAGGCACCAGATGATCACGTCACTAATCGACCAAAACAAGTGCCTTAGCCCTTTTCCAACCTGCTCAGCAACAGGGAACAGTTGAAATCAGATACACGTGAATCAGACAGCAAGTCGATAGTCTCTTGAAGAGAGAAACAACAGATTCCACCAGGTAAAACCGTAAAAGTAACCAAGTAAAACCCCAAGCCATAGGATTCCCAGCGATCTAACCCACACCACCAATCACAGATCAATTCTGAAACAGACCACATCCAACAGGAAACCAAGCGACTCAAAATGTAGAACCGTTAGAGCACCACTCTATCCCCCGTAGGAATTCTAAATAGTTACGTCAACAAGAACCGATACGGCCTACAAGGGTCAGTAGGTGGGCTGGGGTTTAGAGTTTTAGCAACGAACACAGCGAACATGGCCCCACAGAGCACAGCTCATACAGATTTTCACCACAGGCAGCCATATCAGCAGTTCCAGCACGAGAAGAGAATCAGACAGCCGAGGAGCTGAGAGGAACTGGCTGGATGGAACAAAAGGAGTTAAGTTTCAAGTATCAGAGTAAACAAAATGCCAGATTTTAACAAAAGGTAGGAAGGAGAAAAGGACCGCAAGCTAACTTAGGCAGGGTTGAGGGGTGGTACATCCTCCCCGATGGAAGTAATCAATGCTGTCCTTCGGACCTCCACACCAGAAGGAGGGGAGGAGCGTGAGCGTGTTCTCAATGTATTTCCTTTGACTTGTCGGTGGAATAGAAACCGGACTGAGGCTCCCCAGAATGGATAAGGAGCCGGAACCATAAGGTTCTGTTTAAAATATTAAAAAAAGAAAAGAAAAGAAAAGAAAAAGAAAAAGAAAAAGAGTGCAAAGCAGGCACAAGACTAAAGAAACAGAGAATTTTTTTTTGAAAAAAGTATGATTAAGTTTGAACTTTGACGATACTGAGAAGGCGATCGCGCCATCGGTAAGCGCGAGGGCGCTCACGCGCCCGTCTGCACGTCCGCCATCGCGCGATCACGCGCGAAGGCAAACGCCCTCGCGACAACTCGCACTTCCGCCATCGCTCGGCCACGCGCGGAGGAAAGTTTCGAACGGGAAAGTGAGGAAGAGAGAGAGGGAGAGAGAAAGAAAAGAGGAGTGAGGGGAGAGAGAGGGAGAGAGAGAGAGAGAGGGAGAGAGAGAGGGAGAGAGAGAGAGAGAGGGAGAGAGGGAGACAGAAGGAAAGAGGAGGAGAGAGCGTATTCTGGAAAAGCAATGAGAGAACTCAAACGGGAGGAGAAACGAGCGAGCGACCGAGGAGAACGAACGAAAGGAGGAGAGTGTGAGAGGGAGAGAAACCTTTCGCGCTCCACAAGGGCGACAGCTAGTGTATTTTTGTCGTAGTTGGAAGCGTGCAAGTACCGAAGAAGGATAGGGTGACAGATTTGAAGCCTCGAGCCATCAGAACCTGGTTGAGAAAGAGGTCCAGATGCAGACGAGAGGGAGCGATCTTATCGAGTGAGATCCGGCACTTTGACAATCTACCAACTCCTACATCACGATCTAAAGTCATTCTATTCGCCCCCCCCTAACCAGCCCCCCCCCAATCTTGCGAACACAATATCCCGCTCGATCCGTTCTCGTCAATCAGTCTTGTTTCGCGCTTGGGCCACCCCCAACCTTGGTCGGCCAACTACTTCTGCCCCTCCCCCCCTTACATCCGGTCCCCCCCCGATTCCTCATAGCACTGGTCCTATCCCGCCCGCAATTTATCCCGACACTTCCTCCCCCCCTCCCCCTCCTATCAAACATCATACGTCCACTCTTTCTTCCCCCTGACAGTGCCTTCTGTCAGATTACCACCCCAACCCACCCCCCTCCTCTATTCCGACCTCGCCGTCGGTCACTATACCGACCCAGTCCCGACCCCGACCCGCCCATCCTCTTCCTCTAAACATCTTCTATGTCCCCTGGATACCACCTCCATCCATCCAAATCCTGATCCCGACCTGATCCCACCCCAATCCCGATCCTGTTTAAGTCTAGTCGGCCCTCACCTCGACCTATCCCTATCCTCACCCCCATATCCGTCCCGATCCCGGCCCGTATCTCACCCAAATCCTGATTTCACCCCGACCTCTCCCCGATCTGATCCCGATCTCATCCCAACTCATCCCGATCCCCTCCTGACCCCATCTTGTTTGTCACCCTGACCTCTCCCCATCCCGATCCCGATCTCATCCCAACTAATCCCGGTCCCTTCCAGACCCCATCCGGATCCCACTCCGACCTCGTCCCGATCTTACCTCCAACCCTTCCCGATCTTACCCCGACCTCACCCCAACCCCGATCTCGTCCCAATCTCCCTTCACCCCGACCTTGCTCCTGTCCCAATCCCGACCTCAGTCCTCCTTTGACTCCACAATCCCAACCCCACCTAACTGACTGGCCAGACCATCGTTGACCTATTAAAACCGTTCTCCCTCAAACATCTCCTTTCTTCTGCTCATTTCCCTCACACCCCCCCCCCTTCCCTCCCCCCACCTGGTCATCCCAGAAGGTCGTGACAGACCAGACAGCAGCATTCGAGTGTGACAGGTGTCAGAACCACTGAAGACCGGGAAATGGCTACCCTGACGCCATCCACGATCCCCTCAGACCAAGAGGCACCAGAATACAATGTCAGTGTCATTGATAATGAAGCCCTCAAGTTCTTAATCGAAAGGACAAAAGTCCAAGGGATTGAATCCACAGGGAAACAGGTAGTGGAGGGGAAAGAAGAGGAGGTGGTCATATGGAAGTACCAGAGGAAAAGATCGCCGAACTGGACGATCTACATGAGAGACATGGCGTAGTCTTTAATTTCACATGCCATGGGGCTGACCTCCAGCCAGCATAGAAGAGAAAATGAATAATCGAATTGGGGACACATACACACTACAGAATCTGGGCCGTAACAACATTATGGTAATCTTTATCCACGAAAACCACGCACAAATTGCAGCGGAAATGCAATCCAGGAACTACCACAGGTCAGTATGTGCCATCACAAAATGGAAGAAGTTGTCGGCGCAAAGACAAAACCCTGTCTTTGCAGTATCACACAAGCAGACCCTACTGAAAGAAAACTTCTGGGTCCAATTTGATAACATCCAGCCCGGTTTCCACGGCCTACAAGTCGACAGACTGGAAAGGCAATATACGGCAAACAAAATCCTTAAATGGATTCTACCGACGCCGGAGTTTCTGGCCCCCCATTGTGGAACCATGACAGCGATATTAGATGTACAAACAGATGACCCCCCAGTGTTTCCAGCGGTCTGGAAACTCCAGATAGAGGGCAGAGTGGTGGAGGTGAGGATTCAACCAGGACCTCGCCGATCTGCTTTCACTGCAGAGAACGAGGTCACTTGGGAACTGATCCTACCTGCCCCAAGTTTCTGAAGCAAGCAAAACAAAGGAAATTGCTACCTAATATGCTGGTAGAAGTTGGAGGCGCGCCCGGTGTTTGGTATGTGGCTGACCCCTGTTATGATGGGTGGGTTTTCGGCGACAATTTCGATGAACCAGATTGGGTCTGGCATTTCATGGACCAGACACCGTCGGTAAAAAAACAGACATTTTCCCACCTGCAGACAGAAGATGGCAGAAGAAGGCAACTGGGAAGGTGAGGGGCAATCCAACAAAGATCAACACTGACGCCCTCACGAACTCGAGAATAATGAGGGAAGAGAAAGCAAGGGAAGACCTGTTGTGTGACCTGGGCACTATAAGGGAACAAATTGAACAAGAATACAACAAAGACCCAGTGTCAAACACGGAAGCGCTGAAACAGGCTAAACTGCATACATATAAAAAGGGGGACAAGACACACGCGAAAAATAAAAGGTCTGCACAAGGAGTCTGCAGTCAGACAGACAAAGAGTTGGGTCCAAAAAGAAGAAAAGCCAAAGATGATGGAAAGGGAAAGAAAGTGGAAATGACGGGAACCACGGGAAGGGAGGATGCATTTCGGACAGACACGGCAGGAGGGGAGGCGGATAACGAAGCTGAGGGAAGGAACAGCTCATCAGATGCCATCTCTACAGAAGAGGAGGACCGTTCCCGCCGATCCCTGGCCTGGCTCAGAAAATACGTAGAAAAAGCAAAGAGGGAACGGGAACCCGCTTTTGATATCCGAGTAGCTTGTCTGAAACATGCAGAACGGCCTGAGGTGAATGGCAAGAAAGCTACCATTGTAGGGATCAACACTCTTCCAACCAGTTTGAGCTACTCATGAAGGAGAAGGCAGAGGAATTCTCAGAATATGCAGCCTTTAGATACGCAGAAAATAAAAGAGCAAGAGACCAAGGGACTGAAGACAAGGACAAAACCATCCCCACAATCAAAGACAACCTGCTTGACATGCGCCCCAAGTCAAGAAAAACGAATAAGAATCAGAAAAGGAAGGACTTGGACAAGGGACAGAAGGAAACTGAGGAGGGTTCAGAACGCAACATCTTGGAAAAGGAGGCTGCAGTAGTGTTGTCACAAACAGAGAAGCTGAGGAAATGGAACAAAGAATACACCTCAGAATTTACTACTATCACTCAAATAGTTGGTGGCAAGGCTCCGATGGTAACCGAATCAGCCAAAGCAGCTCGACGGACCTTGAGGAACATTTGTCCACTCATTGTAGCCAGATATATGGCTTAAACGCAAGAGTGGCAGATCGCCACGGATGTCTCCTTCAAAATCCCCCACTTTGTGGAAGGGGTGAATGTTGTCGAGGTGCTCAAGACCCATGTGACAATTGAAACCCCATTGGCGATCTTCGAGACAGTAGCCTTGGAGGACAGCCAGATAGACACCAACTTGCAGGAAGACTCAGAGAACTCACAGAAGAGCACGGGGGAAACGTCTAAGAACTCCCCAAGGGCCTTTTCACCCCTGATCGTTAAAATGCCGGAATCAACAAGATTAAGTTCTGGAATGATCTGGAAACCTTGGAGGACGGTGGTTGAGGTTCCCTACAGCATTCTGGCAGATGTGGGTATGTCTGCTGAATTGATGGCCACGACAGTCGCACATATCGCCTCCACGGGGTTGTTGGAAGGCGATGAGGATTTGGATGCAAGAGCATACGCCACCGACTGTGAGAGGTTCTATAGGAGCGACGAGTCGGACTGCGACTCAGGGGATGAGGACGATGAAAAAGACATGATGGAGGGGCTCCCGGAACTAGAAAAGGACGACTGGGCAAACGACGACCAGGTGAAACCAGACTCGGTGGGAGAAAGTCTACCCCCTCGTCAGAAGAAAAGGGGATGGATTCTGATCAGGAAGTAGTCGAAGGGAGGGAGAACGAGGAAGGACCCCCACTCCCCCCTTAGGTATTCCCTTACCTCATATCCCCCTAAATTGACACAACTACAGTCATGGAAAGTTACAGGCTACGGGCTAATGAGGCGGGGGAGCGGGATGATCGCAGAAACCAAGGGCTAGTCATCAGAAGCTGGAATGCCAGTGGGCTTGGGAATGTGGTGGAGAAAGAAGAAAAAATGAACGACCTGTTAACAGGGATGACAATTGCTAATGGTAAAACAACGGATATTTTGCTATTACAAGGAACCCACCTCACTTTTTCGCCAGGACACAACAAAATCCGCACTTTCCTGGCAAGGAAATTAGGAGGATTGAAGGACGAAATATGGTCGGCGGACCCCGCCTCTAGTTCCAAGGGAACAACAATCCTCATCCCCAAAACATCCTGCGTATACACAACAAGCGCAGTCATAGACAAGAAAACAGACCTGATCGAAGGACGGTGGTGTTTAATGCAGCTTAAGTGGAAAGAAGAGGAACTAATTTTGATCAATGTTTATGTGCCAAATTCGGCGTCAGAAAGAGCGGTCTTTCTGACAAACATCAGAAATCTAGTGTCACCGATGATTCCTTGTATCCTAGCGGGTGACTGGAACGCTACCTTAGACCCAACAACTGACCGTATAACACGCTCTTCCAATAACCCCCACCATGTTAGAGGCACTCCCGATTCAAGAAGTAATGGTGGATCTTAACCTGGTCGACCCTTACAGGACTTTATATCCTACGAAGAGAGCTTTCACTTTTGTCAAGAAAAACCATGCACACGATACTGCCTTCTCAAGAATAGACTATTTCCTGCTGTCAGAAACTCTAATGGGGCCAGTCAAGGACGCGGGGATTTTACCTCTAGCGTCGTACCCAGGGCTAGACCACAAGCCAATCAAACTGATAATAGCCTTTGACCAAGCAGTCAAAAGGGGAGCCAGCTTTCATAAACTCAACAATGCTCTTCTACTCAGTTAAACCTTTCAAAAAGAAATATATGATTGCTGGCTAGCCAGAGGGCAGCTCGACTAAGCACAGAGAATCGGTGGGATTCGTTCCAAAAGAGTTACTCAACGCTATATGTCGAGGCGGCCAGAATTTCTAGAAAGCTCGCGTCTATGAGAAAACAAAGAAGACAAACTCTCGAATTCGCTTTGAATTTAGTGGAAGCCAATCTAATAGATAACCCTCCTCGCCCCTCTATAATGAAATTTTCGAGAAGGACGGGAGGAATTGGCTATGTGGAGATGGTGGGATCTGAAAGGGTTGCAAATTAGGGCTAGAATGAGCGAATACGAACTTAGTGATTCAATGACTAAACACCTTTTTGCCCGAATCAAAGCCAACTCAAGAGTTGGGGCAATAGAAGGACTGAAGTCTGCCATAGACCCAAATGTCATTAGATCAGATAGTGAAGGGATGTTAGAGATAGCAAAGGATTTTTACAAAGACCTCTACCAATCAAAGACTCCTACGCCAATAACGTCCAACATAAGAGAGGCAAGACAAAGAATGCTCCAATATCTGGAGCAAACGATAACACTGGAACAGGCTAGGGCGTTAGACAAAACCATCACAATAGAGGAACTGCACCAAGCACTATCTAGCATGAACAACAACAAGACACCAGGGATTGATGGTCTCACAAAATAATTCTGGGAGAAATTATGGCCCCTTCTAGGACCTGATCTACTCAACTTTTACAACGACTGTTGGAGGAAAGGGGGACTGGGCAATCTACTCAGCAGCAGCGTGGTCACTCTACTCTACAAAAAGGGCGAGAAGGAAGACATCAGAAACTACAGATCGATTTCGCTGCTAACTCTCCCATACAAGATCTTGGCAAAGACCCTTTATAACCGAGTCGCCAAAATCACAAACAAGTGTTTTCACATCGATCAGACCGGTTTCATCCCAGGTCGCTACATTCTGGATAATGTACTAACACTAAACGAGGCGGTAAGGAAAATTAAGGAAATAAAAATTAATACGGCCATACTCTTCTTCAATTTTGAGAAGGCATACGATCAGGTGAACTGGGATTTTATGGAGGCAAGCATGGAGAAAATGGGAGTCGGGCCAAACTTCAGAAAATGGGTTCGCATATTATACAGCGATGCAGTGGGCTGCGTTCAGGTCAATGGCCTGCTATCGGACTGCTACCCAATATCCCGTTCGGTCCGACAAGGAGATCCGCTGGCCCCGTCGATCTTCTTATTTGTGATGGAGGCCATCGCTTCTTTCCTACGTAAGGACCCATCGATTCACAGACTCCCAGTCCTCAATACAGGCTCGGCTTACAGAATAGACTTCCCAACTGCTATCATGTTTGCAGATGACCTGACCGTACTAATCAGAGCATCGGACTCTTCATTCAGGACTTTGGCCAAAGAAATGGAAGCTTTCAAACTGGCCTCAAAAATAAAGATCAATTGGAGAAAAACAATAGGTTGGTGGTTATCCGAGGAGGAACCTCTCCAATTACAAGGAGAGGAAGCTACCATGATATGGGAAACACCGGAATCCCCCACTAGATACCTTGGCATATTCATGACAAGGGAAGGTCTAGCACCCCAAATGGGATAGAACATATTGACTAAACAAATCAACAAATTAGGAAGATGGGGCAATGTATGTACATCCCTTTTCGGTCGGCCCCTGGTTCTCAATACCCGGTCTTCTCAATGATGTGGTACATAGCTTCTATTTGGACAATACCAGATAGTTCCATCAAAGACCTAAACAGAAGAGCCAGGTCCTATTTATGGTCAGGTGACCCAAATAAAGAGAATGGTATTTCTAAGGTCGCATGGCACTACGTCACAAGAACCCCGCAAAAAGGAGGCCTAGGGATTATTTACCCCGAGACATAGACGAAAGCCCTCCAGATCAAGTGGATAATTAAACTGCTGATGGACCCAGACAGTGCCTGGAACAAGCTAGCCTTAGACAGTATCAGATCTCTTGCTCCAGTGCCCTCGCCAGACGACATGTCAGGTCTCTTTTGGATCATGAATAAGGATTGGGCCTTGACCACGGGACGTAGGAATCGAAGAAGGGATGATAGAACGGGAATCTACAGACCCCCTGCTCCATACTAGTCAGCACTGATTCAGATCTGGAGAAAGATAATGCCCAATAAGTCCAACAGACCGAGGTCTAAGGATGAAGTACTTAGACACCCACTCTTTGGGAACCAATGGGTGTCAAATGAGGGAGACAATCCCCTCCCCCTAGAACACAGATGGCTCTCCTGGATCAAAAACGGGATATGGAAAATCGCTCATCTATGGAGCGAAGAGGGAAAGAAGTGGAAGACGGAACAGGAAGTTAGTTCTCAGCTAAAAGGATGCCACAGACGTGGACCCAATCTCCAGTACATCATCAGCCGTATCCCACAGGAATGGAAGGACATTTTGGCCGAAGCCGCCCCATGGAAGCCGGGAGAATGGGGACTTAAGATACAAGAAACTACCCGCTCCAGAGTCTTTCAGTTTTCCCACATGCAACAAGGCTCAACCCCGGAGGCCACCTTCCTCTCCTTCCCAATCTCCACGACTACCTCCAGAACGCCAGTCATCCTCAACAGCGAAGTAGAATCAATAGTCATGTACTTCTTCCTACTTAGAAAGGTTAGGGTCCTTGGCTCTTGGCCAAAATCAATCTTCAGACCTGACACGGCGGTCCACAACCTAGAGTTTGACCCAACAGAATGGGCATGGACACCAGACAAGACAAAGAATATTAAGTCCAAGATTCCAATTCATAAATACACAGTCAAACTAGGGTATAGGCTGTCACTTAAGACTAAAGACCCAGACCCCATCATCAAGAAGAGATGGCAGACCCTACTAGGCCAGGAGGCAGACAGTCTCACACAAATTCAATGGAAGAAGTACAAATCCATTAGGCCAATCAAGATCAGAAGCCTTCAATGGCTGATAACCTACGCAGCACTGCCAGTTAACCAATGGTTACACGCTAGACGAAAGGCTTCAGACCCCAACAGTTCAGATCGGTGTCTGGTTTGTGCGGAGGACGCGGTAGAGGACATAGTTCACTGTTTGCTGCACTGTAGGGAGGCGACAGACTACTGGGCGAGAGCCTGGGCGAGAGCCTCGGCCCTCTGGGATTCCCTTTTCCCGACCCTTTCCCTGAACAACCCATCCAACTTCTCCTTCTGACGAACATCCCTGAGCAACTCCGGAAAGCGGAAAGGATTTGGTTTGGACTCGTCAGGAAGGTGACCTTATGGGTCATATGGAAGGAAAGATGCAGCAGAACGATCGAAAGAGTGTCCAACCCACGAGAGATGATCTGGGCGGAGACGAAAACATTGATACAAGCTGAAATCCTCTGCAGATGGCGGAAAATCAAATTATCATGGTCGGAGGATGAGGAACAACAAAAGAAGGCGAGACTGAGCTTCAGCAAGGTATGGTTGATAAGCGGGAAAGTTGCTGAGCTACGAGACGACCGCATCTGCTGGAAGGACTGGCACAACTCAAACTCAGGAAGATGCGTTTGGCTGCAAATAGCTGTGCATGGGCAAGGCACCTCCTGATCAGACTCCTAAAGAAAAGCTACGAACCTATACTACCACTTCTATGGACGAGGTCGACTCAGGGGATGATGGAGTTAGGGTACAAGGAATACAGGCTCCTATACCACCCAAAGGCAACAGAACCAGCCCAGAAGGGACAGTAAGTTCTACAGGTTGAGGGTTTAGGGCCTAGGGTTTTAATAGCGCTTAAAAGAAAGGGATAGGCTCAATGGGATAGGGGATACCAAGACTCTCGGGCAGGGCAGATGAGTTGGGAATACACAGGTATGCAGAAACTATGGGCGAGCCCCCTCTAGGTGACTTAGAACTATTTGGCAGAACTGGTTTTCAGGTCTGAAAGGAAAGAATGAGACACAGCAAGCTGACAGTCAATCCTCCACCATTGGTGGAGTAATCAATGCTGCTCAGGGGTCCTTCGGCCAAATGGAAGGAAGCGTGCGTTTCTGCTGTAATGTAATGTGTATTCTGACTTGCCGGTGGAATAGGAACCGGACTGACGCAGTCCTTCGGGACATCCGTTAAAATTGGAACGATACAGAGAAGATTAGCATGGCCCCTACTCAAGGATGACACGCATAAATCGAGAAATGGTCCAAATTTTTAAAAGGAACCGGACTGACGCTCTCCAGAATAGAAGGAGCCAAGACCACAAGGCCCTGTTTTAAAAAAAAAAAAAAAACAAGGAAAAAGAGTGCAGTGGTCCAGTCATACATGAGACGGCTGGACACATGGGGGATTAAACTCAAGACTTAAGAGGACATATAACACCTAACCTTTGTTTATTCAACAGGGTTTGAACCCTTGATCTGTCAATCACTTTGCCGAGCTAGCTGTGTGCATCATTCGCCACATGGCAGGTAGGTAGTGAGTATATATGATATACCTCGATCTTTAGCGAGACTTGATTGATTCTATCATTCATTTCTATCTTGCAGGCTGTGAGCAGCATCATAACCGCCGTTGCTGTGGGTCTGATAAGGTTTTTTAACTCGGTTCTCTCTCTCTCTTTGTGTGTGTGTGTGTG